AGTAAGTCTGTATCCTGATCTCAATTCTTGCCTTCCTCCCCCGGGCTTCTGGGGCTGTGGTACTATGGAAATTGACTGTCACCTTTCTCCAGCAGAGTGGTTGGGAAGTTTGGACCACTCACCTTTCTGGTTGGCAGCCAAGCACTTCAACTATTCTCCCCCAGGCTCATTTCAGAGTCTAGCCTAGAACATCCTATGGGGCGGTTCTATGAGTAAGAGCTGACTTGTGGCACCTAACCGCAATGTCTTAGGTACCTAAGCAGCACAGTATGCACTGGACTGCTACCCTAAAGGTTGGCAGTAATGAACCCCCCAGAGGGACCATGGGGAAAATTTTCTGGCAATCTGCTTCTGTTACCATTACAGCCAAGAAAACCCTATGGAGAAGTTCTACTCTGTAATGCATGGGGTCACCCTGAGTCCAAATCCACCAGACAGCCACCAACAGGAACATCTAGGCTTTGGCCTAGTTTATCGGGCTTCTGTAGTGGTTCCACGTATGCATGCAAGTCTTTGTCTGTTGAGAATCTTAGGCTGTATTCCCTTCACCTTTAAGGAGAATGGGAAACAAGATTCATTGACTAAGCTCAAGAACTGAGGGTGCTCTTGGGTAAGTGTTGGGCTGCTCACCATAAGGTCAGCGATTCAAAGTCACCAGCCACTGTATGGGAGAAAGATGAGGCTACGTGTTCCCAAAGAGATCCTCGGAGTTGCTCCATGGGTCCCTGTGATCTGGGAATGGACTTGTCAGCAGCGGGTACTGAACGTAGAAAGCCCCTCAGGCCCATGGGAACTGCTGGGAGATGGGAATGGGTGTCACAGCTGGCAGTCTTCCCTTCCCTGAAAACACCTATTGACTCTATGTTTTTGTCTTTTCTTTTCTGTCCACCTCCCCAAACCGTTTTGCCAGTAAGGACAAAGTCGATTTAGCATGCTGGTTGTAAGAACCAAAATAAAGAGAGCAGTGAGCGTTCTTCAGAACAGTTCAGTAAAGCAATCCAGACCTGATACAAAATCCTAACCCACAGCAGTCA